AGCACATTCAGCCTGCCCTGAATTGGGGACAGAGCAAAATTCCAGGAGCATCCTGCAGGACAAGGAAGGATGCAGCAGTTACAGGGATATGGAGCCACTCTGCTGGGAGGAAAGGCTGAGGTTGTTCAGCCTGGAGAAGAGAAGCTTTGGGGTGACCTAATTGTGGCCTTCCAGTGCCTGAAGGAGCTACAAAAAAAAGGTGGAGAGAGACTACTTCCAAGGGCCTGGAGGAACAGGACAAGGGGCAATGGCTTCACACTAAATGGGATATTGGGAAGGAGTTCCTCCCTGTGAGGTGCTGAGGCACTGGCACAGGTCACCCAGAGCAGCTGTGACTTCTCCATTCCTGGGAGTGTTCCAGGAGAGGCTGGACAGGGCTTGGAGCGACCTGAACTGGTGGAAGGTGTCCCTGCCCATGGCAGGGGGTAGGAGGAGATGAGCTTTGAGGTCCCTGGAGGAAAGGGCATGGGCCGCAGGGGTTTGCTGGGATGCTGTGGGATGGGAGCAGTTGGGAGCCCGAGGGCAGCCAAGGCTGCCAAACAGGCAGGGAGCAGCGAACTGAGCTTGGGGACAGCCTTGCCCGTGGGTTAACAGCCCAACATCCCCAGGAATTGTGTCAGAGTGGCCTCAAGGCCATGGCAGTTGCTCCATCAGCCACAGGGCCGGTGAGCCAAGACTGCCATACGATGCTCTGCTGCCTTTGATCAGCCTCATCCTGTGGGTCCTGCTCAGCTCAGCCACAGCTCCCTCGGGACACTGAGTCTGGGAGAGGACCTGTCCTCCTCAGCACGCTCTGCAACCACGACAACGGCTGAGTGTGCCTGGCCCTGGCTCTCAGGGGAAGCCTGGGACATGACAAATCACAGGGCTGCAGCTGGGCTTAACGCAGAAGGCAAGAACTGAGGTCATCTGAGGAGTTAAAAGCATCAGCAAATCTTCCCCTGAGTGCTGAGGGACAACCTTTGTCCCTTCCCACCAAGGGCAAGCAAACAGTCTTGTTTGGCTGTCACCATCCCTGGAGTGTTCCTTCCCAGCAGCACAGCCTGGACACTGCACAGACAGGGAAGATGAGGGCATGGAAAAGCCACACGGCCCAGGGGGACCCTGTTCTGCATCTCAGGACCATTATCCTTCCCCGGGGGGCTCTGCCCTGAGCTGTGCTCACCCTCTCCTTCAGTCCCTGCCCTCACCGCAGCTGCAGGAAGCTGCCCACCCATCCCAGCACCCTTGGGAAGCAGCAGGATCACCCTGCCAAGGGGCAGTGAAGCGGGAAGGCTCCATCCCTCCTCCTGCTCCACAATGAGCTCCCTGAACCAGAGCTAATGGAGCAGTGCCCCAGCCAGTCCTCCTCGCTGCTTGCTGAGCCCCAGCTACCACTTATACAGCCCAGAGGGATAATTGGGTTTATTTGGTATATCACAACGGTTTAGTTTGCATTTAACAGCGCTGTAAACCCCTAATAAATCCAGTTTTATCAGGTGAAGAGCAGTGTCCACCCCAACAGCTGTGCAAAGCAGGCAGCAATCTCACTCTGATGTTTCCTTAAGCTGCTCTAATGCCTGCAGGGAATGGGGGGGGGAGGGTGTGAGAGGACAGCTGAGCAGTCAGGATTTGGGAGAGAGTCGTTTGTGTTTCACTCTGAGCTGTTCTGCCCTGCCAGGTGCTGCGTGCACCAGCAAGGACCAGAGGAAGTCAGCTACATTAGGAGTTTGACATTGACCTTCAAAACTTGCACCAGACAGTCCTTGGTAATCACTTCAGGCAACGTCTCTCCGTGTCAGACCTCTCAAAAACAAACCTTTGTGGTACAAACTGCCTTCAGAGGCTGCTCCACACCACCAGGGTGAGGCTGAGGGGAGCCACGGTGAGCAGTGACCTTCCAGCAGGCTTGGCCATCTCCTTGGATCACACAGCACCTCTGCCTGCAGCTCTGCTCACCCCTCCAACAGCCCCAGCAGGACACAAACATGAACAGACCCTGCTAGGGCAGCATGAGAGCTCTGGAGAAGGAGCCAGCAGCATCCCAGCCCATCCCAGCCTTGTGCTTGGGAAGCACAGCAGGGAGCACTGAGTCTTTGGCTGCAGCCAGGCACGTGTGGGCAGGGACTGGGGCTGGCGGGGGCTCCAGGTTGGAATGGATTCTGTCATTCTTCCTGCAGGTCCTTCTTCTGGAGGGCCTGGAGCCTCCTCACCACTGTCTGCTGGATGATCTCCAGCCCCTCAGCGTCCAGTTCCTTCATGAGGAGCAGGATGGCATTGAGGACATTGTTCTGCTGGGATAAGGCAGACACTGCTTTACAAAACCAGCCAGGAAAAGGCCACTTGGTTTTCCCTGCTCTTTCTAGGAACTGCCCCCACCACCAGGACTGGCAGCAGTTTGCAGGAGCCACCTGCAGCCAGGGGACAAAGGAGCTGAGCCCTCGGGGCAGACAGGAGCAGAGCTGCCATGTGACAGGGCTGGAATGCAGGACAAACCCATCCACCCAGTCCTGTGCAGGCTGCCTACGTGCCTCTGGCACCC